GCGCTCATATACTTATCAACAAGTAGGGAGCAGAGAGAGAACTGGGAACAATGCAGCCTTTCCCCAGCATTCAGGAGGAGGAGGCAGGTAGATCTCTGAATTTGAGGCTGGGCTTGTCTACAGAGCTAGTTCCAGGGCAAAAAAGAAACTTGAAACCTCAAAGCTCACCCTCAGTGACACAGCTAATCCAACGAGGCCATACCTCCTAATCCTTTCCAAATATTTCCACCAACTGGGGACCAAGCATTCAAATGTATGAGCCTATAAGAATGAGCCCATTCTCATTCAAACAGCATATTCCTCAAACATGTTTCTCACCCATTTTCCTTTCATGCTCTTTCCAAGTTCTTGACCAACCGGTTAATCCATTGGCTATAGTCCATGAATCAGTAAAGAAGTGTCCCTCTGGCCATTCCTCCTTCCAAGCAAAATGTACTGCCTTAACTGGCATCTAGTGGTGAAGGGTTTCTATACAAACAAGTAAAACAGACTGGTGAGGCCAGACATGGTGGTGCATGCCTTTAATTCCAGCACTCAGGGAGGCAGAGGCATGCAGATGGCTGTGAATTCAAGGCCAGTGTGGTCTACAAAGGGAGTCCAAGACAGCCAAGAGAAACCCTATTTCAAAAACAAACAAAAAAACTGTCACCACCGACAACAAAACAGATTGGTGCGGGTGGGCTTCTGAGTTTTTTTTACGTGTAGCCAGCTTGGTCATGAACTCTAGATTCCAAGGTTTGGTGTCTTTTAAAAGCAATTTTGTGAAAGTCCCATGCCCGGGCAATGGGAAACACCCAGAGGCCCTCAGTCTTGCTGTGTGGGCAGCCTGAATATGATGAGCAAGTATGTTGTGAAAGGATGGGAGAGAAAGGGAAGCGGGGTGGTTTGTGCACTACGAAGAGAGGAACCGCCTGATGTGAGAGGCCGGCACTGCCACATGAGGCTGTGGTGATGTCCGGCCTGTGTTATTGGAGAGGGCCAAGCTTGGGTCTGTCCGCTAACACAGCAGGCGTCTGTAACCAATGTCCATGTTACCACCAACGGCTGTGTGGACCTTCATGGTCTGCGCTGCCACCTGAACCCAAGGGCTTGGTGAGCTGTCCCCACCCCTCGCCGGCCAGTGGTGCCAGCAATAACATGGGCACAGCATGAGAGCTAGCCCTGGTGGTATGGGTGCGGGAGAGGTGGCCCTGTGGATGTGGGTGTGGAAACATGGGAAGGCCTCTGCGTTGGCCCACCCTAACATCTACGCCATCTATGAACTGCTGGAGCGAGGGAAGGGGTCAGGGAAGGGGTCAGTCCTGCAGAAGCAAAGCTGCAGGATCTCCATGACACTGGCAATCACAGGATATCCAAGAGAAATCTCAATAAGGATGCAGTAATGATGGTGTAGCCAGAGGCCCCGACCCTCATTGCAAGAACTGTTTGCACGTAAAGCAGCCTGGGCAAAATGGTAGACTGTGCATCAAAGGTGACGCTGCAGTTTCCACGGTGAGGTGATTTAGTTGGGTAGTTTGTTTTAATTTGGAGGGGAAGGTTACAAGGATGGGGGCAGATATGGAAGGACTGAAAAATGAGTGGGATGGGGTGCGTGACGTGAAGTTCACAAAGAATCCAAAAATTATGTTAAATGTAAGTATCACAAAACTTAATGGAAGTCAGCAAGGTAATCTGAAAGCTGGATCTGAGCAACAGTCTCGGGGCACAGGCCACGGGGGAGAAAGGACAGGTTACTGAGGGTGGAACGGCTCATAATCTTCTGGGAACTGCACACACTGTATTTGCTGTATCGTCAGGAGCAACAGTGCTAGCTTTAAAATAGATGGATATTTTTTTAAGATGGATATTTTTAAAGCCAGTGCATGTTCAGTGCCATATGTCAACCCTTTTTAAAAATTAAAACAAAACAAAAACAAAACAAAAAAAAACAAGACAGGTAAGACATTAGTACTCTGGATACTTTCCCAATGATATGGTTCAAGCAGAAATAGCAACTATGAAAATACTCTCCCATGTCTTCTGAGTCACTGTCGTTATTAAGCAACCATCTCTGCTTCAATTTTTTAACTTAAAATTACTAAGATAATAATGCCAAATCACCACTGTGAGAAACTAACTTGCTGCACAGACCTGGGCAGTGTACAAGAACCTGTTCTACTAGCATGGACCTGCTCAGCTGAACCAAAGCATCTCAAATGGAAGGCATTTTCCTCAATCCATTAAAAGACTGAGTATTCAGGGGGCACTGTTACATCCTTCTGACTGGAAGACCATCCACGAGAACTCAGAAATGAATTTCAGTTTTTTAAAATATTTTTTTCTTTTCTCGTGTGTTTATGGGTGCTTTGCTTAGCAGCTCGCGTCCGTGGGACACATGCATGCAGTGCCTGTAAAGGCCAGAAGAGGGCATCTTATTCCCTGGGATTGGAGTGGTAGATGGTTGTCAGCCATCATGGAGGTGCTAGGAATTGAACTCAGGTCCTCTGGAAGAGCAGCCAGTATTCTCAGTAACCTCTGAGCCATCTCTCGCCAACCCATAAGGAACGTGGGACACTTTGGTCATGGTTTCCCTGCCCATGTGGTAAGAGTCCTCTTGGATCCCTTCAAGACAGTCACGTCGCCTGGGCTTGCCTGACAATACCACAGAAAGCCCCACCAGACACACACTGAGAGGCTTTGCTATCGGTAAGAAAATCAGGTCTCAAATGTAGCATTCCGTAAAGTCTCGGGTGATCCCTAGCCCTGAGGCAAAAGTAACAGCAATTCCTGGTCTGAGCAACTGTGTGGTAGAGGGCAACAAGTTTCAGTAAGTCAAATCTCTGTGCTTGGCATTCCCTTCAGCTGCGGTTCCTTGGTAAGATACAGGCCCAGGGCCAATCCCGTTTTTCATAGGCATCAGTTATGTGACACTGCACAATGTTAATGAAAACAAACAAACAAACAAACAAACAGACCATTATTCGGTGATACTTGTGAAAGTGCAGGAAGGCGCACTTAACTCAGGAGTGGGTGCTGGACCAGTGCAGTAGAAGTTCTCAGCCAAGAAAAAGACTAGGCTCAACTCCTGACAGTTGCACAGCCAAGCAGGGATGTATGGCCAAGGTACAGGGTGGAGGTCAGTGGACGGAAAATCACAAGGAGGAGGCATCAGGAAGGAGGAGGGGACTTTTGGCTTATCTGAGCTAACAGGAGACTTGCTGCAGTTAGGCCAGATTAGCTAAAACCTCGGCGTGGTGGCAGAGCGGGTGGGGGTTGGGGGTGGGGGATAAGACTTCCGTGTTAAACTGACATAACAGGTTTCTTGGCTAAATCCGGACTGTACAAGAAGGCCCAGACAGGCCTGAGAGGAGGTTCATGAGTCTAACTGAAGTTTGGCAAAGTAAAGTGTTTCTGTTGATAAACTCACTAACCTAGGATGAAAGGACAAGTAATCTAGTTAGGTTAAAAGATATGAGCAGTTTCTAAGGACAATTGCTCTAGACAGGGTAACCTAACCAGAGAGGCCCTGGGGGAACCACGATTTGCAGGAAGAAAAGACATCTGACACAAATACAGCAGTGGGGCAAGTAAAGAATATTCCAGGAATTTCCCTCAGTACTGATAAACAGGTCAAATTCCTTGGCACAGGAAATCACTTCATACCAAAAAAGTTCCCAAGTTCCAGCTAATGGCTGAACTATAAACAATGTTGTCCAAAATAAGAAAGTTCTGGAACAATGAAAGGTTCTGGACACTCAACCAAATTCACACCACCATTTCTAACACATCACACCTCTTGGTTTTCCCTCTTAATTTTATCCCAGATAAGTCAAAAATAATGTAACTATCATTTCAAGTAACACAAATATTTAGAAAACCAGAAACTAATTAATTTCATAGCCCTGGGGCACAATTTAGATGAACTCTGAGTATGTTCCCATGTAATTGAGAAAAATTTTCATTGGCACATGATCACTGGGAACCCAAATTACCCTGCCTTTTGTAAGCAAATATTCAGCCAATTTAAAAGAATATCAAAGACCTGTGAGGACTCCAGGGACGAGGTCGGGAAGGGCTTTCCTCACATCTGAATCCCAGCCTCTCATGGTCTGCTACTACGTGTTTTTATTCTCAGTGCGGGCAAGTGTATGAAGTCGGTAATGATGAAAGGCATCAAAAGGCCTTATATAAGTAACCCGTAAGCCCATGGCTCCTGTCCTGCTCCAAGCCTGAGTCTTCACCAGAACTTAGGCTTTGTAGCTGTTCCTATGCTGGACGATGTGAGCAGGCAAAGAGATCCATCCAACATGTAAGGCTTGGTCAAGCAAACAGGTTATTGTTAGTGACACTTGCTGTATCCATGACTTCAGGGGCATCTTGTAAGAGACAGTGTTCCTCAGTTCACTGGGAAGAAACTGACGAAGCCAATGGTGAACTGTAGTTCTTAACCAAGACCTCAAATCTGTATTAAATTCTGTCCTGCGCAGCTCATCACTATATATGGAGGTGGAACTATGCAGGCAGGTAGACTGAAACACTAATTGTCTTCCGTGGGGCCAGCAGCAGTTGGCCAAGAGCAGAGAAGCCGAGTGCAATTTCCCAGTGCCCATGTCAGGCAGCTCACAACCACCCACCTGCAAGTCCAACCCCAAGAGATTCAACAACTTCTTCTGGTCTCTGAGGGTACCTGAACTTACATGCACGCGTACATACACCCAAACGTGTAACTAAAAATAGAAAATTTAAATCCACTTCTTCTAAAAGTTATTTTAACACTGGGAAAAGAATTTCAGGAGATGAAGTCTCTCGCTAAGGTGCCCAAGCTGGCCTGGAACGGGGCTCAAGCAATTCTGCCTCAGCCGCCTAAGTTCTAAGACGACAGGTATACAGGTAAACACAGCCATCCCTGGTTCTCCCAGAAGATGTCCTATAGGTACTCACCTTGCTTACTTTTAATGTATATATTATTTAGATAACCATTATAGCTTATGTAGATACCGGGGAATTTTAATTTTTTTTACCTGGAGATTTTTTGTTTGATCTCGACTGTGTCAAGTGGGACTGTCGGGGCAGCAAAGGTGACGACGGAAGAGACATGGAAACCCCCTTGGCCAAGCTCACACGATAGGTTTCCTCTGCTGCAGGAAGGCTGTTCGCAGGAGAGTCACCACCAGGACCGGAGGGTGAGGCAGGCGTCTCTGGACCAAAATCACCTCCTGGAAGGGAGAGATGAGATTTAGGTTACACCATCTGTGATGAGTCGATGAGACCTGAATTCCTAAGAGCTGCATTCTTAGGATATAATTCCCACATACTGGGCATACTGAATTTCTTATAGATGATTTCTCCTTATCACTCTTGAAATCTATCGCCTACAGGAGAAACTCAAGCTTTACCATTGAAGCTGCAATAAACTCTGCCAGGAGGCCATTTCCGTCCCAGTCGACTGCTACAGAAAGTCATCATGATCCACTAGGTGCTGCAGTTACAAGCAGGGGGTCACTAGACTTTTGGGGGTGTCAGTGGGGCTGATTCCAAAGCCAGGAACTCACTGGACTTCCAGCTCCGAGTCTGCTTCCTCCAATATGGAGATCCCAATGCAAGACCTGGACTGTGACCACAGTGTTCCCTGGGTGCACTTTTTTCCCTCTGACCCTGCCTGAACCCCAGCCAACCCTGACCCAACACAGGGCCCACTTAGGATCTAACCCCCACACGAACCTGGGAGCAAACTAGCACACCATTATAAAGCCAGACTTCTAAAGTAAGCAGATTCTCCACACACACAGAGGATGCAATTATAGTGCACAAAGAAAATGAGGAATACAGGCCTCAGCAGGGACGAGCCTCTAAAAGAGAGTGCAGCCAGTCTGCAGGCACTCAGATGATACACTCTGCTCCTACCCCCCAACTCTGCTGCCCCACCCCTAGTCACATTCCTCTTTATAGATCAAGAAGGAACTGAGGACTGCAAAGTAGCTTGAGTCACCACCCCATCGATTACAAACCATCTTCAAAGTTCTAAATTATAGGCAGTAGCATTCGGAGGAGACATACAAGTTTTCCAGAAGCAAAACCAGTCAGCCTGACAAATGTTCTCCAACTAGTCCTTGCCATGACTCCCTGGCTAAAAAAGAAAAACCAAGCACTACATTTGGGGGGTGGGGGTGGGGTGGATATGAAACCCCTGAGATGTCTAGCCAGGCAGCTACTCATTTTCTTCCCAGAGCTTTGTGCACAAGGCCAAAAAGGGATGTGACCCAAACCCATCATCATTCATGTTCTGTTGCTGTGCTTGCTTTTGCTTTTCACGTTCGCAGCCCCCTGGGGAAGGAGCGTTAACACTGCCATAGACTAGGGGAGCATGCTGAAGCCTCAACCCACAAGCAAGTCAAAAGCAACAGAGCTGTCAACACAGAAGCGTGGGCAAGCTGGCAGGGTTGGCAGAGTCTCTTCAGCCTCACCTGGGCTGGCTACACTTGAAGCATTGCACTAGCTTCTCAGTTTGAGAAGCTAGTGACTTATCACCAATTGTCTAAACGACCAACATCTGAAGAAGGAAGAAAGGCACAAGTACTAGACAGCCCTTACTAGAACACTCATGGCAGGTGAGCAAGGCATTCTACCCTAAGGGAGGAAGACAAACAGCAGTCAGTAGAGGCCCATTATACTGTGCGTGTCAACAGGAGAGGTCCCTGCCCTGGACCTTTACACCCCTCACATATCATGTTTTTGTAAACATCAATGCTATGTACCCCTAGAACCAGAGCCTCAGCCTGGACTCGACGATAACACCTCTTGAGATCTGCAGCCAAGGCATGAGGCACCCTAACTACCATCTCTGTGACTGCCAGTGAAAGGCAGAGCCAAGGCTACAGCCAAAACAACACCTCCCCCAACAGGGCTGTATGCTTAGACTCTGAAGAGATGTGTGAGAGCAGGACATTTACTTTCTCAGTCTCACAAGGAAGTTCTAAGATCAGTCCCCACAACCATTTGGTTCTATGCAGGCACAGTGCCTGCAAGATCTGCAGGTGTCTGGGCAGGGAGTAGTAGGAGACAGAGAAGAACATACAAGTAGTTTCAGTTACATGCGCACGCACACACGCACGCACACACTCACAGCCAGTTAGAGAAGCTACCAGAGCACTAAGCAATGCTGATTTTTCCATGTGTTTGAAGAGAGCTACATAGCCCCAATGGTTGCCCATGTACTACCTACAGACTTGGGCTGTAAATGGCAATGAAACGGCCTGGCAGGCTATAAAGAATGGTCTCCCTACCCACTCAGAAAGATTTCTGACATACACATGAAAACCCAGACTTCTGGTCCCTTACTTTCGATTGGAACACAAAGAAATGGAGAAATTCATACACCATCGCCAGAAACTTCAGAAGTTAAGCTTGTAACCCGAGAAAGGGCTATTATCTCAGACACTTAGAATTCTCTAACACACAACAAGAGACATTAGGGGCTGGAAGACAGATTTAAAGCATTTCCTAATCACAAATTCTGTCCATAAACTTTGTTTGTAGCAAGCAAAGCAAATATTTTCATTAACTGTAAGTCTGTAAAACAGAGCTTCCAAAGCATGTGGCCACCATGAAGACCTTGGGAGCAGGCCCTGGCCCAGCTGGGCTCCAGCTCTTTGATATTATGTAGGCTGCAATAAAAACGGGACTTAGAGATGAGGTTTGGGGGAAGGAGATTTCTTTTTCAACTTGACTTTGCCATCTCATGACAATATCTGTCCCAAACATGCTGTTCTTGTTGTTTTTTTGTTTTGTTTTGTTTTTGTTGTTATTTTGTTCTTTCAGAAACAATTAAACTTCTAGCTTCCCTTTATTGGGAAGCCACAAAGCAGCGAGAGCAGCTTCATGGATGAGCCGGAGAACAAAGCACCGAGTAGGAGATCCAGCAGCTCAGAAGCTGAACTGCAACCTGGAGCCAAGGGCTTTAACTTTAACAGCACAGGGCAGCAGGCTAAGGTCAAAGAAAGCCCAGAGCATCCCACAACATCTTATGACACCAGAGGCCAAAGGCAGAACGCTGGCAGGGGCACACCCACAGACGAGGGGGGTGTTCCGAGCAGCCAGACACCAGAAATCCCCTGGTTGATTCGACATTCCTCAGCGATGCTTACCAAAGAAGTTTAAGAAGAATTAACAGCGTTTCACTACAGCCAGCATGACTGGGACATGACTTTTGGCCTTGAGTAGATGCTGTTTTAACTGCAAACCTACTTTATTCCTCACTTCAAGTTCTAGGAAGCACACTGCAGTCACCCTTCCTGTCGCTGTGGCAGAAAGGCCCAGGCTGGGCAGGACAATGCATCCTCTCCGGGGTATGCAAGCCATGCTATCAATTGCCAGGGTCAGCCAGGCTCCCCTCCAGCACTGGCAGGTGCTTCCCATGGAACATTCAAACACCGTAGTGAATCACATCAGCCAGTGTGAGTTCATCTCAGGGGATCCCCTGCTCCAACCAGACCTCTCGAAGACAAGAAAGCGGAGCTGCGTTAACGGAGGGGTACAGAGAGAACAGCTGAACCTTCGCCCCACGAGCCAGCACAGATTCTAACACACCACTGCACTTGTTTAAGGGTGCTGGGGGAAATGGAAAGCCCCAAAAGAAACACATTCTAAATGAGCTACAGATGTGAGGGGCAATCACGCTTTTTCTGTAATAGGCTTAATAGTACCTTAGGTTCTGTAAGTTATATCGTCTCTGTTACACATACACACCTTTTCCCACTTTAAAATCACTGTTTTCCTGAATTCTGAAAGTAAAAGATCAAGAAGGGCATGGGGATAAATGGACATCTATACAGTCTTCTGTGTTTATAATAAATCAAACTTAAAATGCACACATAAAAGAAGTATAAAAGTGAAAGCCGTGCGTACAAAGATAATGCACTCCCCAAACAGAATAAAGACATCCAATAAAGCATTGTAAATTGGCAGAAGTAGGGTTTGATAATAGTTCTTTATTTTACCTTTTGCCCCCCACTCTTAAAGACTTTGAAAGAGGATTCAAATTCACAATGGAAGAAAGGAAAAAGAAAAAAAAAAAAAGTGAATCCAGGAGTTGAACGTTTAAAGGTGGACATGCAGAATGGGAAAGTCGACACTGTAGATTAAAGTGTGTGGAGTGCGGGATTAGAGGCAGCTTTGAGGGCAGAGAAGGCAGGCGGACAAAAGCAAAGCTCATTTGAGAAAGGGTAGACACGAGAAAGGCCAGGGTGAGCTCAGACACTCAGGTAAATAGGTCTACAAAGGCAGGAAATAAGATTTCCATTTATCGTGCCACAAAGTGGCCAGGCAAAGCAGGGCCTGGAAGCTTAGAATAGAAAGAGAAAGATGTTCTGTTTATCCAGCTCCACAAAACGGGCCTCCGTGATACATCTAAGTAGGGCATTAAATGTATTACGGCATCTTCTGTGGCTCCCGCCTCCCAGTGCACTGTTCGTTAAACATATTTTCCATCATAAGGTTTTATAACCACATAACTCATATATATTTACAGAAACCCAGCAAGTTGGAAATGAATTCCTCTGCAAGATCCAGTGTCATTTTTGAACCTGGTAGGAAGAAGGCTGTCTCTGCAACAAAAAGCACATCATGTGTCTTACATGACCTTACAGGGCTTCTAGGCCCTCATCTTTCAAGATTCTAGTGTATGTTTTCAAAAAGAAAGGATAAATGCACCCACGTCAACACCTTTCCAGAACATAGTCACACATAATGACTACTTCTCAAACAGCACCAGAAGTACCACCAAAGAAGCAGGAAAACAGCTAACCCCCTGGGTCCGAAACCTACCAGCTCATGAGACAAGTAGAGCCTCCTGTCTCCAGATATTGCATAACGCCTTCTGGGTGGGGGTTAGCAAAGGTCCTTGCACTGTGTGTACTTTATCCTACAACATACAAAGAAACAGACTGCCATTTCCTCCCTGACTGCCCATATTCCTCCTTTAAAATATGCTGCCGTGCCAGAGCCACTTACTAGGCTTTAAAAATGTGTGACCTCAGAGAAACCTCCATTCTCACATTCTACAGAAGCATAACTTAAAGCAAATGGTGCCCAGACAGAGTGGCAGGTGCAAGCTGGTTCCTCATCTCGTCTTCACAACCTGTACCAAGCAGCTGCCATTCCCAGTTCCCTTCACAGGCATGGGAAACTGAGGAAGAGAAAGGACTAAGAAGCAAGGCTG